ACTGTTATTATTTTATTTTATTAATACTTTCATTATCATTATTGTTCCCATCATCCACATTTTAATACCACTCTCTTACTGTTTATTAATAACATTGCTTTTCATACATATTTTATACAAAAGCGCTTTATAGCCTTTCCACTAGTTCCTGTACATTTTACACGAGATTATTGATTATTCACTATCTCACACTTATTACTTCATGTCAACTTCTGTCTCCTTTCTAACTTACAATTAGTCATCCCTTCTTACACCTTACATTATGTAATACAATTTTCCAAGGACAAAATTTACCAGTATCTGATTGGTCTAAAGATTTCTTTGTTAATTATAATTACGATTGTACAGCTCATGAAAATGAATCGTCGAAAAGAATCCAAATGGAAGGAGACAAGTGACTCGTCGGTGTGACTGCGACATCTAGGAGATCGTGCGAAGAGGAGACGAGAGATTATGCGCAATCGTGGACCCAGATGAAGAGGACGACAAAAAGAACAGAATAAAAAGGAGATGTGTAATTGAATCCCTATGTTCCACTCGGAACCCAAGGGAATAATAATAATATAATAGAATGATAGAACCTGCTTAGCTATTATAAGAACATAACTTAGGCACTATGTTAAAGCAGAGTTCCATCATAGAGCAAATTTATTTAATGAAATCAAGCAGTGATACCGTGTTATTTAATGATAATGCTTCAGATACAATTTAATGCTCACAATGAGATCACGGCACTCACATAGCTTTCTAACTTCATTGATACAATTTTATTACTTCTTATTCTTCTTAGTGAAATAATATGGAAAAAAGCTTGGTCATCGCAATGCATTCATTCACTTATATGTAATCACACAATAGGTTGGGATAGGGTGAAAGTTTTCATTGTAGGATCTTCTTTGTGAATCACCATCAGTTCGGGAGATCACTGAAAACCCGGGAGTACCAGAGTGCTGTTTCATGATAGTTTAAGACTTATCTGCAGTGTGCACCCACGATACCACCAGGGATCGAACCTTGGCCTTCCATTTACGAGACAAACCCCACCTGAGCTGGAATTCACTGGTCCGTGTATTCTAACTTTGTGCAATCATGATGTAGCGCTTCTAGCACAAATGCCTTCGATGGGCATTCTCTTAATCTTCACTTGATGAACCGCATTAGTGACGACTTCCCAATGAAGCTTCAGAAAATGCATCCAGTAGCCATCAGTGACCTGTAGTTTCTGGGGTAGAATCTCTCGAGGGGTCATAGGTGCTTACTGATAAGTAGTTCCTTACTAGGACGAAACAGCTGTCCGGTGCTCCCTAGTTTTCAATAACCTCTCAAACTGATACTGATACGTGACAAAAATCAAAAAAACTGAAATTCATTCGAAACTCCTACAAATCTTATAATTTGAATAGGGTAAGAGTATTAAAAAGTAATATGATTAGGTGGAGGGAGGGTTCAGTCACTGAATCCTTATTCATCAAATCAACACCAAACACATGCGACAGAAACGATGCAACATCGTTCTCGGAAATATGGAAAATTGCTGTCGAAAACAGTCGGGATTGAAGTTAAATAAAGTAAATTATGAAGTCGTGTGAACACATTGATATGACTATGAACAATTATTGTGCTCGAACAATCATCCAGTTGATAATGCCGTGCCATTACCATGTACTCCACCAGAAAAACCTATCTAATAAGGAATTTCGACCGTTTCTCATGCTTCAGAGTGAAAATTTGTCACTAATCAATAATTAAAACAGAACAAATACTGATACTTCATAGGATCATAAGTGCATACAGTCGAAATGTCTCAAAATTCACGCGAAGCCGCTATACCATACTAATTATTTCCCAATAATGATATCAGTCATCCATCTTGAATGGCTGCAGTTACTGAATTCGACATGTAAGTATGTGCGTAGTAATATGTCTGCATAGGTAACACAATAGCTATATCGCTTAACTTCTTTCTAGTAGTCACTATAATAAAGGTTTTCTTGTATTTCCCAATGAATGAAAAACAAAACGATATTGTTGTTTTTACTGACGTTTCGCTAATAACTTTATCAAAGTATTATTAAACCGGAATCTAAAAAATCTCAGCAAATATATAACACAGAGTTAAGGGGTGAGAAGATAGACTTAGGTCAAGTTAAAGGGACATATTGAAAGTGAAAATAGCAATGAAGATCACTAAACCAAATAACAAAGGTAATAACACATCTGTTATGATATCAAAATAAAGTTTACTAACTTGATCATCGTTCGTCTGTCTGGGGTCATTTTTCGTTGTCAAGTTGGTCAATTGGTAAAGATAACAAAACCAGTTGTTGATTGTTGGATTTAATAAGTGTGTAAAATTATACACAAGCAGCGTGTGTTTACATAATGAAATTGCTTATCACATTCGTGTTGATTTTGTCACTTCATGGGGGAGGGAGGTGTTGTAACCAGGTCAGATTCTGTTTTCGTCCATCATTCCTATTCAGGCAATTTGAATTCCACTTGATATGAAGTGCTTCTGATATTTTTTTTATTTTTATTTATTTTATTTGATTTACAGCTTGATTCCACACCGTATTTTCAGTACAAGTGTGGAATTTTCAGCATGGATATCGGTAGCCGTTTTCGTGATTTCTGAAGTTTTTCTGGATTATTTCAATATTGTCAAAATCAATTTTGTGGCCTGATTCTATAGCGTGTAGACCTATGGCTGATGATTTTTCAAGTTTTTCTAGTTCAGCTGGATTTCTAGGTGGTCGAACAGATACGGCTCTACGGTATTCATTTCTTCTGATTTTGATTTCTCTCCAGCGATGTTTGTCCGATGTATATCGCATCACATTCCAAGCATTTTATTTTATAGACACAATTAGATAGAGAACCTTTAGGGATTTGGTCTTTTATATGGACAAGTTTGTTTCGTAGTGTGTCTGATGTTTTTAAGAAAACTGTGATGTCGAGCTGACTGAGTACTCTTCTGATTTCATCTGACGTCTCTGCTCTATATGGAATGACGACTGTTGATTTCCATGTTTTCGGAATGCGTTTTCGGCCATACTGAATGTCTGTGTTGATTTTGTTGATGAAGTTTTATGGGTAATTGTTTTGCTTGAGAGTCTCAGTAATGTTTGATATTTCTTCTTCTTTTTCTTTCTCATCCGTTATCAGAGAATGTGCTCGTCTAAGAAGACTTGAAACAACTCATACCTTTGCACTGATGGGGTGTGATGATTTGAAGTCTAACTATTTATTGGAGTGGGTTTTCTTCCTGAATATGGATATACTTAAATATCCGTTTTCCCTCCTCTTAACTAGGCAGGCAGTCTAGAAATGGTAGTTCACCGACGTCTGATTCTGCTTCCGAAGTGAACTGGATCCGGAGAGATACACAGTTAATTTTCTCCAGGAATGAATTGTGTAGATTTCGTTTTAGTACTGCAAAAGTATCATCTACATATCTTAACCATATTTTAGGAGTAAGTATTCTTGAAGAGATGTTATTTTCGAATTTATTCATGAAAAGGTCGGCGACTATTGGGGAGACTGGTGGATCCATAGCAACACCATCTGTCTGTGTATATAAACTCCCTTTAAATGTAAAATAATTATTTTCTAGACAGAATTTTAAGCTGTTAATTATTTCACTGGTGTCCAGTGGAAATCTCTGTGATGGCGTTGTATCTGATTCTAGTAGACTGGAAATGATATCAAGATTTTCGGTAGTAGGAATACTAGCATATAACGAGTTAACATCATAGCATACCATAATGTCTTCTTTATTAATTTCTCGGTGTTCTGTTTGGGATTTGAAATCATATGAATTCCTTACAACATTTTGAGTGTCCGTTTGTAGTGTAGTGTAGTATCGAAAATAGGTATTTAGAGAGGTATGTCGGTGAGTTGGTGAAATCTATCACTGTTCCTAATGGAACTGTGGGTTTTTGTATCTTTGGTTGACCGTAGAATCTTGAAGGTACATAAGATTTTGGTTTTAGTTTAAACCAGAGAGGATTTCCAATTTTGAGTTTCATTTCTTGAAGGAGTCTGTTTGTATTTAGTTTCATTTTGTTGAATTTGGCGGATTTCTTCTTCTCTTCAATGAGTAAGTATGTTCCTTCAGATAGGAGGTGTTCAATCGCCTTCTTTTCATAATCCGTCCTGTTCATTATCACAGTGACCTTTCCCTTATCGGCTTGCGTTATAACGATCCTTTTGTCCTTCTTCAAATTTCTTAAGGCTTCATATTCTTGTTTGGTGAGATTAGATGGTATGTTTCATTGTGTCATTAATATCTGTCATATCTCTTGACGAACAGATTGTGATTCTTCACTGATGAATTGTTGTAGAGCAGGTTCGATCAAAGGTGCTATTTCCTAGACCGATAATAGCTTTCTAATGATATTGAAATTCAGACCTTTCTGTAGTAATGAGATTTCATTTTCGGTTAGCATCTTCTTGTCTGACATGTTAATATGTATGACTCTAATATTCTTCATATCATTTACTGAGGTTTTCTTTGGTTGTTTCTTTTCTTCGAGTTTCAAGAATTTCCTTTTGTATTTGTCTTCTTTTAGTGACATTATGAAAATGAGATTCTTGTTCTTTCTAGTAGCTCTGAGGTTCAAATCCCGCTGTACACATATTTCAGCTACAGCTAATGCGTCTTAGTTGTTCCGTCAGACCACGCAGACACACACACACACAATCAGGTCTGATTCACAATCTGATATGTGGACAGAAAAATTCCATCTTTAGCCTTAGTTCTAAATGATAACCAACCCATTTTTATATATAATATTTGTCAATATTTTTGAGCAGTATAATATTACACAAAAGACAGATTATTATTATATAATTGGTTATTATCTTTCTCAGAGTGCATTTATGCACTTATCATAAAAAATAATTTCTCAACGATTTATTGGACACATTTGTTGAGATTATAGAAATCATGAATGACAAAAGTATTACTTCACTGATAGACAGTAGAATGAAGACGTAAAATGAAGATACTGTCACAGTTAGCTGTGATTTTTCGAGTTTATTACATTGTTGTAACATATTCTTCTACAAATGCATTAAATGAAGACATCAAAAAATCATACATAATTTATAATCTTTCCGGCCAACCTGGACAAGGCTATTATATAACATTGTATGCCGGTACTCCAGAACAAAAGGTAAGTTCTTTTACTAATCCGAATATATAATCGTCAAGAAGTTACATCACCCATATGTTTTAAGTAAACTTTAATATTCCCGCTGACTGGTTGAACCGAAATGTTCGATCCCTGTTGACAGGATACTTACTAGCACTGATACTTCGACGATGTCTGGAGATTACTACGTAGAAACATTTTGGTGGATAGTGACTAGCAGTGGAATTGCGGATCGCATTTCGTCCAATCTGGGACTCATCAGCTGATGTACCTGAAATCCTCAGTGAGAGGTGATGTTCCTGCTGAGAAACGAATTCAGCACCCTTTGTATAAAACACCAAAGCATTATCCATTGCACTACTGGTCAATCCTTAGACATCGAGGGAGTATCTGTGCTAGGCGGTGTCATGTCAGAAGAGGCCGAAAATTTCGGTTCAATCAACCGATGGGAAAATCAAAATTGACTTAAAATAAGTGATCACTGATGCCTGTTGCACAACAGGTAGCTTTAGTGGTCAAGTGGATAATGATTTACAGTTTGAAAAGAAGGGTACAAAGTTTGTGTCTCAGTGAGAACGCTTTCAATCACTGGTTAATGTAGCTATATTCAGAGACGAGTCCCAAATAGGACGAAATGTGAACTCTTGGACTCCATGGCTAATCAGCATCCACTAAGACAATTGCTGCATATTACCTATGTTGAAATTAATCCTTAAAGTTTGATCCACTAATTTTTTTTAGTCATGTGACTACATGGTGAACATTAATTCCTTAAGTGATTTGTATCAAATATCATTTGAGTACAAACTCAAAATGAATCAAAATGTTAATTTCACGTTTATTCTACACGAGTTTTCTTTTAAGGCATTCATTAATCATTCATATAAGAATAAAACTTGGGCAATGTGGCAGAGTATAACTGCATTATGGATAAGATTTTTTTGATAAAATTACCTAGTTTTCTACAGTAATATTTACTGATGACCAAATTTCGAGCACAATTTATCGCCGTTCATAATCATATCAAGTCACTCACACAACGTTTTACTTCCTTTATATAAATGAGTAAAAATTGATGATTAGACATTTGAATAAAATCAATATAAGATAAAGTACATTCAGAAACAGTATTAGTATTAGTGTTATCAATAAAATACAATCAGATGGGAAATAAGATGTTTTTATAGTAACATAAATAAACTACTTGTTAGAATGTTATAATGTGAATTGAATACATTTTAACATTACTTATTATCCTCACCTGATTTGACTGACTGGTGGTAATAATATCTTCCATATTTCTGGTATTTGCATTGAGACATTTCTGTTGCGTGTGTTGGGTGTAGACACAGTGGACAAGGCAGGATTCAGTAATCAGTCTCCTTCTCCCTCTCCACCTACCTACCTATATTTCTCTTCAGAATTTTGACTTTGTCCCACCTACCCTATTATGTGGTTGTCTGTTGATGCATGCAGTACGAATGCTGAGTTTTCTTTAAATCACTTATCTTCGCTGGTGGGGGCAATCATTCTAACCTTATCTAAATTTTTATGTTCTCACGGGTAATTTCACTACTCCACACCAATCTACTAGTTTGACTTACGTATGTGGTTGACTTAACTCATAGTCATTGTTCAGTTGGGTCCACCGAAAGTGTCCTTTAGCCTACAGAACCTGTCCTACCTGATTGAGTTTGTGGATTTGACTGCCACTCTAATTCCTGCTTTATTGAGAATCCTACGTAGGTCCTCATGTGTCTCCAACTGTAGACGCCTTATATTCTTTGTTATTAATGTTGTCCTTATTAGTTTCACCGTTATTTTTATTTTGCTTTTGCCTTTTTTCGATCTTCCTAATGAATTTTATAGGATAGTTATTTGATACCAAGGCTTTTTTTTCTATCTGTTTCATTTCATCATTAAGGTGTTTTGTTGTACCAATTGGTGGTACTGCTCAGTTTGTTAGACAGCACTTAACTAAGCCTGCCTTTACTGATAACGAACGGATGAGATGAATTAAAGTCTAAATATTTATTAATAGGATGCGTTGGCTATTTTGTAAACGCTAGTGTTCAGTCTGCCTCCTTCTATTCGTTTTATTTTACAGTCTAACTTAGCTAATTCCCCTTTTTCATTTTTCTACTCAGATGTGAATTTTATTCCCATCTGATTGTATTTTATTCGTAACACTAATACTAATATTATTTCCGAATGTACTTTATCTTATATTGATTTTATTCAAATGTCTAATCATCAATTTTTACTCATGTATATAAATGAATCAAGAAAGTTGATTGAGTACCTTGAAATGACTATGGTCGGCAACGAATTGTGCTCGAGACGTGGTCATCAGTAAATATTACTGTATAACACTGTGTGATTTTATCAAAATAAAATCTTATCTATAATGGAGTTATACTCTACGATAGTGCCCAAGTTTTATACTTATATCAATCAAATTCCTGCAAACTAACACTGATACTCACTACTACGACTGACCACAGGATGAAATTGCCTGAAATTCTAGTGAGAAGTCGTCACCATGAGGCCCGAAAAGTTGGGTGTGATGACAGATTCCCATCAATGACACTGGCTGGTGGTCACTGTACATATATTGCGAATCGGCAGAAATTAGAATCAATGGAATGGCCACTAGATTTCGTCACAATGACTGGTAAATATATAAGTTATCTTTGTACATCAATCACTCTTTTGAAACTTTTCATTCATGATGTGGCAATACTTCAGACTATTAAGTAGTACATCTCTTTTCTGCATTCTTTTTTTTGAAATATATGTAGGTAAACCTACTTGTCGATACTGGTAGCAGTAATATAGCTATTGCTGGTGTTAATCTAACCAATGTAGACAACTGGTTTAAGCCAAATCAATCGCCTACACTACAATGCTCTGATACAATACAAAACGTTCGTTATGAAAAAGGCTATTGGTATGGTATCAATTGTCAAGATTATTTTCACTTTGCTAACCATCAAAGTAAGTCATTTAGAATGGACAGCAATATTTCCTTATCCAAGCGTCTATTTAATATTATCATTTTACAATATATTTAAACAGATCTGTTTTTCTTCTTTGTATTTTGGAATATTTGTAACATAGAATTGAAGTTCACCACCGTGAATCGTAGTGTCGAGTTTGTAGCTCAGTGATAAAATTGCACTTCAGATGGATGGATCTAGTTTGAAAATGACAAGTAGACAGTTATCTTGTAACAAATTCTCAGGAATAATTAGGTTGTTCATGCGTTGGTAGTTCAATAGTGGAGTATTCGCCTGTCCGCACACTTCTTAGTCTCATTTAGCCAGCAGTCAGTTCGCGATATTATTATTATTATTGTTCCGTTGGGTTCCTAGTGGAACATAGGGCTTCAGCTGCACGTCTCCACTTGCTTCTGTCTTCTTCTGTACTTTTCAGCTGCGTCCATGTTAGTCCATTCTGCTTCAGCTCCTCGTCACACAATCTCCTCCATATCATCCTTGGACGTCCCACTCGCCGCTTCCTTTTCGGGTTCCACTCGAGGGCCGCACAATGTCACCCAACGGCCTCCTCAGCGAGTGTCCAATCCATCTCCACTTTCTCCTGCATATTTGTTGGGAGATTGCCCATTTCACCTTGTGTATATCCTTGTGTTTGAACACACTGCCAACAATCACCAAATCATTGAAGGCGCAGAAGTCTGAGAAGAGTTCACCATTGTCGTTCATTTCACTGAGGGCCTCACGACCCATGGTGAGTTCTCTTCCTGTATTGTCTCCTCCTAGTTGCGCATTCATATCACCCATCAGGATCCTGATATCGCTCTTTGAGACGTTGTCCATTACTGTTTGTAGTTGTCTGTAGAAATCCTCCTTCTTCTCTTGTTCTGAGACGTTTGTGGGCGCATAGCATTGAATGATTGTAACCTCCTTTCCTTTTGAGTTGAACCTGGCTGTCATTATCCCGGAGGAGATTGGTTCCCACTGCATGAGAGCTTTGGCTGCTGTTGGTGACATCATGATGGCCACTTCCTCGGTGTGCTCGTGGTTGCCCTCTGGGTGACCGGAATAGTTGATAGTTGGCACCTTCTACATCCGTTCCATCTGCTCTCGCAGATTCTCAACACTTCTATTCCATATCTTCTCATTTCTGCAGCTACCTGGCCAGTCTTTCCAGTTTCGTACAATGTACGAATATTCCACGTCCCCATCCTTATTTTTGCTTTCATCGAAAGGAGGCACGTCGGCTGACTGGCTTCCCGAAGGCTTTCACCAGCCTACTTCATTTCACTTCCCCGATTCCAGTGAAAAATAAGGTTATTGCTTATATTTTTAGTATTTTTAATGTATTTGTGCGTTGAAGTTTCTGTAGCAATTTGGTTAAGTTTTGAGGGTAGAGTTACTAGCACCAACCCCAATTCTCCTTCTTTGTCTGGGCTTGGAACCGCCTAGAAAACTAGTGAGCTAGTAATCTAGGCGAGGTTAGTTCGTGATGTTATATATATATATATATATATATATATATATATTGCAATTAGTCAGATCCCTACAGTCTCATAATCTCTATCTGATCAATCACATTTGCGATATAGTCATGAAGATATATACGTCGTCATCCTAGTTCACTTTTAATCAATGTTGGATGGTCACCATTTTGTGCTGAATTCAGGTTTCATGCTTATTGGTACTCGTCAGTTTCGTGAATCTGCAAAATCTAAAGAATTGATATTCTCTCAGACATTTGAAGCCACAAGTCTCAATGCTGAAATCAGACGCATTACTCCTGAGAAAAATTGTCTGAAGAGTGAAAATAAGAACAAAGGCCTACTGTCTCAAACCTTAAAAAAGAGAGAAATGATAACACCTGTGTCGTGTGCTACTGACAGGATTTATCAGTAGTATATATATAAAGAGATGTTTATTGGCATAAAAACATCAAACAGCAAGGAGATAAATTTGATATGGGAGAAAGTAAATGATGCGGAGTTGCAAAGAAGCAAAGGAGACGTGAAAGGAACACACAAAGAAACACAATATGAAGGCCAGAAGTGGCAAAACACGGAAAGTCCGTGCAAATGGTGCGATATCATTTTGACATCATTTAAGCCTCGTCATGATTTGGACAGTTCAGTGTTAGATTATAGAAGTTATCATTGAAATAAATGTTTACATCATTTTAAGACAGTCTAGTAGAAAAGTGAAACAGTTAAATTCTTTTCAAATTTGATGACGGATTGATATCATTCAGAGAACTATTGGAAACCAGTGAATTCTGGGCGGCTGTTTCGTCCTAGTTTTGGACTCATCATCAGTACTCATCTACCGGAGTTGGGACCCAGGACCTTCCAGTTACAAGGCAATATCGTAGAACATTCAGCCTCTGGGACCGTGGTTAAGCTTGAAGCAAATCAAACCCCTCAAAAATCAATTTTTTCAAAGTTAGATAAATTCTACCAAATTCTTTCCACTCAATTATGAGAAATAAGAAGATTCTGCTTGGACAGCAACTTTTAAATGAAGATATTTGAAACTTTCTGTATGCTTTCACTACATGAGTAATATGAATGAGTAGGCTAATGCTGTTTGGTTTCTGTAACAATGCCCAATTGATATGGTTTGTATAACCAGTACTACTGATACTGATACTGCGACTAGGTTTCGATACGAGAAGACAATAAGTGACTCGTCTGTACAACGAACATACAAATACTGATTTCTAATCATAATTAGACCCTTAGAACCTCCGCAAATAAAGGCAGAAAATCTGATCCTAACCACTGAAAATACAGTATATACAGTTATTACTAACCTCAAAAAAATAAGGCCAATAAATAACCAATTAAGAACATTCTTTTCAATAATTTCTCTTCTAGATTATTACAATTAAAAAATATAATATTTATTGTCGTTACAATAATGGCCAGTTATGCGGAGGATGCATTTTTTAACGTAGAATAACAGATTAGCAGTTATGGGGTGTCAAAATACGTAGTCGTATTTGTGTGACAAACGTGCTAGACTGAAATCGATTACAAAATATTGTAAAATGGGAGACAATGGTGGTGATTAATCAAAATAGTCGTAAACGTGAACTGGCAACAGTGGAGAAAAAGCCTTTATTTTGCGTCTACGATTCATGTGAGATACTCCTGAGGAGATTCTGTCACGGCTTTTAACCAGAGCAATGAAGGAAACTTTCCACTCTGGACATCTGTTCCTATCCTTCAATAGCCGTCCACTGTTCACCCAGCAATTAAAAGTTATCTTACATAACCTTAGCTCTTCTTCATGCATATAACATTTCAACTGTCCCTTTGGTTCAAGTTATATAGGGCGTCTATGGGTTCGAGAACATTTACCAGCTTGATTCAGCAGGGGGGAAATTAAGTGCATAAAAAGCTCGATCCGGTCATAGTTGGTCGATACTAGACATCATATCTACGTCAACACAGCTTTCAGGGCTATATACCGAATTCCGAAGCTGAAACTGTTGCAATAAGATCGAATAAACTGGAACTTTTTATCCAGAACAAAACAAGTCCGGACGCTGTTCCTACCGTGGCCAAACTTGGATTGATGATTCCTCTTCTCACCAAGAGTGCTTCTTCCCCATAACCCTTTTGATTTTTTCTTTCTTTACTTATTACTACAAATATTATTATTCGTCATAATTTATAACCTTCATTCAAGCATTCTCTCAATACTATCGAATTTTGCATTGATACTATCTGGACTTATTATTAGTGATATTTTTTCTCTTCTCAGTATGTGCCTGCACCTGTTTCATTTCACATATTCGTTATTTCATGATAAATTTCTCATTGCAGTCTTACTATATCCTGCTTAATACATACCACTTTGTACTAGCCATTCACCTGACACCTTTTATAACCTTGAAGTGGCTTGTCAATCTTTTTTCTACCCCACACTCTACAAATGTATAATGACTAATCACCACCACTGTCTTACATTTCACAATATTTCATAATTGAATTCAGTCCACAGTTCGTTTGTCCCGCAAATACCACTTATTTTATCACCTCATAACTAATCTGTTATTCTACGTAAAAAATAAATGTATCCACTGGATAACTGGCCATTATTGTAACGACAACAAATATTATATATTTTACAATTGTAATAACTTGAAGAGCAATTATTGAAAAGAATATTCTTCGTTCAGATTGCCTTTTAATTCATGATATGGAAATATTTCATACAATTACGAACATATAATTCAGTCAACAAAGAGATCCCAATGCGTAACTTCACTTAAAAGCTATAAAGTCATTTAGTGGTTCATATATCTATCGAATGTTAACTGACAACAAAGGTCAGAAAATAATTCGTAGTGTATGAGAAATAACAAACCGTGAATAAACCTACATAACCAAGAGAGTGAGACAGAGAGATAGAGAGTTAAGAACTAATTAATTAAGTGATGAGAAGTTTTCAAGTATTGTTTTTGCAGGGATTTTGTTTGATTGCATGGAGGATTTCATTATGAGCTGACATCAGTTTGAGAACCACTGGAAAACCTTCACGGAGTACTGGACAGCCGGCTGTTTCATCCCAGTTTGGGACTCTTCAGTAGTACACAGACACGGTTCGAACCCAGGACCTTCTGGTTACAAGGCGAGCTCGTAGACCATTCAGCCACTGGGACCCGATCTAACGGCCAGCCCATGAATTCTAACTTGTGGCAATTCACGACATAGCGCGATCATTTAGCAATGTCTTCTTCGATGAGTTACCGCCTTATCCTCGACATGCTGTACCCTACTGGTCAGGGCTTCTCACTAGAACCCTAGGTTAACTGCCTGAGTAGTAGTTGTTTGGAAATAGTTGACGGGAAACAAGAGAATCAAGGATTGAAAAATGGGTACAAAAAATTAGCATTATCTAACAGTAGGGCGATGTCTTCTGAACGTACCTAAATGAGATGAATTTTGAAACGTGCATAATAACCAAGCTCGTAGTAGGTAATGTTTAGCTGACTCACTCAAGAGTATTAAATGTCTGTTCATGCAGATACTTTTTCTCTGAAAGAAGACAAGTTAACTGGACTGTTAAGATTC